GTTGTTCCCTCCCCAACCCCCCAGCTGGCCCCGCCCAGACTCCGCCCCCAGAACGCTGGCTGTAGGTATTCTGGGGGGGGGAGTGTTGCTGCCCCCAGCACCTGCCCCTCCCTGAGCTCTGGGAGGCTGGGGCCACGTGGCACATTCCTCCCCATGATACAGGAGACGGGGATTGGGGCTGCGTGCTGCCCCGCCCCTCTGTGGTGCTGGGGGAGTGGCTCTGCTCCTGGGGGCGTGGCCTGAGCAGAAGGGGCGGGGTTGAGGACAGGGCTGGGGGCTTGCCTCCCCACCTTTTCCCACCACCCATGAATCTGTGTGCCTCTGCTCTCATCGACACCTTAGAGGTGGCAGTGTAGCCCTGCAGCCAAAATGCAGCCTTGTGCAATGTCCTGTGCCTCAGTTTACCTCAGCAGCCAGCCTTGCTGACTTACAGAAAGGAACAGCCTAGTGCTTCTGTTAAAGATGCCTTCATTAGGCTGCTTGTGGTTAGTGTTCCTGTGAAAGCAGGAATTGGCCAAAAGGGTCTGTTTGTCACTATTTGTCACTATTTGTCACTATTGTCACTGTCACTATTGTCGCCCTTTTAGAATTAGGATTGTTTTTTCCTGCCACGGGGGAGTGCAAGAATGGGGTTTTGCACTAGATCTGATCTTACGGAAGGAGCTCTGGGATTGTGTGTGGGTGGGTGCAGAAGGGGGGATGTGCGTGGGAGGATCGCCCGACCCGACGTGCGAGGGAGGAGCCGAGAGCCGACGCAAAGGCACCAGGAGATCGCCGTGTCCCCCTCGTGAGATGCGGCTGAAGGGCAGATCGGTGGAGCCCCGATCAACTGGGCCAGGCAAGCAAGGTAAGGAAACCAAGCGGGGCCTGAGCACAGCACGATGGTGCAAACCCGGCGGATCCCAAGGCAGGGAAACAGCTCCGAGAAGGACCCCAAACAGCTCCAAGACTCCAGAACTCGCCCCACCTCCCTACCGTCAGGGCGTCCCTTGCCCTGCCTTCCTAATGGGGGAGCCAGGCCAGCCCTGGGGCAGCTGGTGCTAGAGACGTCCTGCTCCTCGCTCCCTGAGCTCTCGCTGGTTGGCCACTAGAGGGATCCAGACCCACTCGTAACTACGACATTGACTCTGCATGTGTGTGTGTGTGTGTGCGTATGTGTGTACACTGTGTACACTGTGTGTGTGTGTGTATGTGTGTGTGTGTGGGTGGGTGGGTGTGTACACTGTGCGTGTGTGTACACTGTGCATACACTGTGTACACTGTATGTGTGGGTGTGTGCACACTGTGTACACTGTGTGTGGGGGGGGTGTACACTGTGCATGTGTGTACACTATGCATACACTGTGTACACTGTGTGTGTGGGTGTGTGCGTGTGTGTACACTGTATACACTGCGTACACTGTGTGTGTGGGTGTGTGCGTGTGTGTACACTGCATACACTGTGTACACTGTGTGTGTGGGTGTGTGTGTGTGTGTGTGTACACTGGTGTGGGTGGGTGTGGGTGTGTACACTGTGCATGTGTGTACACTGTGTGTGTGTGTGGGTGTGGGTGTGTGTGTGTGTACACTGTGCATACACTGTGTGTGTGTGTACACTGTGTGTGTACACTGTGTGTGGGTGTGTACACTGTGTGTGTGTGTGTGTGTGTGTGTGTGTGTGTGTGTGTGTGTGTGTTTAGCTTCTTTCCTACTGTATTCTTCATAAACGCAGCATGTCACCTTTTGCCCTAAGAGGATCCCCGGTGCTTTTTATAAGCTAACCCCCCTTGGCCCCTCCGAAGAGGCACCTCGCCCTGCCGGGTACTGCATTGCTCCAGGAGCCCGCGGGCAGCTGGGTTTGAAGGGACCCATGGAGAGGGCAGAGGGCTGGGGCAGTGGGCGTAGGGATCCCGGCGGAGGAGGGAGAGCGGAGGATTTTGCTGGGAGGCAGGTGGCTCGGGGAAGTGGTTTACCCGGGGATCTGAGTCATGCCCCTCCGAAGAGGCACCTCGCCCTGCCGGGTACTGCATTGCTCCAGGAGCCCGCGGGCAGCTGGGTTTGAAGGGACCCATGGAGAGGGCAGAGGGCTGGGGCAGTGGGCGTAGGGATCCCGGCGGAGGAGGGAGAGCGGAGGATTTTGCTGGGAGGCAGGTGGCTCGGGGAAGTGGTTTACCCGGGGATCTGAGTCATGCCCGGTGCGGCGAGGCGGGTGGGACGAGGGCCAGGGAGAGAGCAAAAGCTGCACCGGGAGGAGAAGCCGAGCTCTTGAAGGGGCGCGGGGGAGCCGAGAGCCGCTGGGTGGGCAGGGCGGGGCTGAGTCCCAAAGGAGGGCTGGTGGCGGGAGGGGACGAAAAGCACCACGGGAGGGGGGGTAAGTGGCACCCACCTTTTCACGAAGGGCTGGACTATTCCTTGGATTAACACCATCTTCCCTTCACTCAGGCCTCCAAAGATGGGCCCCGAAAAGGGGAGGCTCTGGAAGAAACCAACCACCCAAGTTTCAGGTCCACGGAGGAACCATACACTGGGGCCAGGCCCCCAGCTGCACGAGGCCTGGCCAGTCCGGTGGGGGGCAGTGAATGTCACAGGGCCCTACTCCTACGATTGGGCTGTGGGAACTCAAGTCTGCTCGGGGGTGACCGGCCGGAGGCCCTGAAAGCTGGGCACTTGTGCAGCCACTCAGGAGAGATTCCAGCAGCACCCAGAGCTAGGTGCAGCGCGCCCAGAGCTAGGGCGTGTTTCCCCAATGGTGCACATTCACATGCGCCTCGGTGCACATAAAAAATTATTCCGCATGGGGTGGATGGAAAAGATTAGAGGGAACATTGGTGACCGGGATGTCCCAATATTATCTGGACTTTCCTGATGTGAGGGGCTTTATCTTATATACTCTGCTATTAACCCCCTTCCCCCCGATTTTTCACACTTGCTGCCTGGTCACCCCAGCCCTGACAGAGAGAAGACCGTGGGAATCTCCGGGTCCCCAGCTCGTCTCACTCACCGGGTTGAGAATAGGCTGCTGGGATGCCATGCTGAGCTGCTCTGAAGCCGCACGCCAGAGCCCCAAGTAGCTGGCTCTCTGTGAACATTAAGTTTCGTTTTCTGAGCAGAAAGTAGAGCTGGCCCCGCCTCCGGCTAGATTAAACCCTTCAGGAACTGCTCCCTGAGGCTGGGGCGTGGGCCCTGCTGCTGGAGGGGAGGTGCGGCGGGAGCCCCCCAGCAGCCCTCTCCCGCACCCTGCTTCGTGTCTGGGCCCCGTCCCCTGTGCAAGCGGGGCTGGGTTTACTTCCCGCCGGCACCCAGCTATTTTGCAGGCTGCTTCGGAGCATGGCGAGAAACTCTCCCCCTCGGCAAAACCCCCGTGTCTTTTGGGAAGCCACGCCGCGCCGGCTCGCCCTGGGTCATGGACACCCCTCTGCGCTCTGGCCGGTCCGGATCCAGGGAGCGCAGGATCCATTCTCCTGCACCGGACTTGCTTGGGGAGGGAGACTGGAAGGGCGAATACCTCTTCCAGGTCTGCCTCTTCCTTTAGCTGGGGCTCAGCTTGGCTCCGGCTGTGCAGAGTCCCTGCACCTAATCCCTCACCCGGGTGCCAGGATGTTCTGAGCCATCTCCTGCAGCCGCGCAGTGTGCCGATCCCTCGAAGGATCGCGCTGTGGAAGGCGGGCCTCCCGGCCTGTCCAGGGGCTCACGTAGGATGCAGCTGAGTCCCCCACCGAAAGCCAAGCACTTCCCAGGCGGGGGGGCAGCCCCCGCACGCATGAAACTGGCATGGTGCCCGTGAGCAGCGTGCGCCGGA